GCAAGCAATACACTTCAGCAAGCTGCAATGCAACTTGGGAGTCTCCAGCTTTCCTCCTCCCTTTATTATTATCTACGTTTTTATGGGTGTGTTACTTACTTTATAACATCCACAAGTGTGCTTGGGGCTTCACCGAAAGCGTAAGAAGACATGGGCACTAATTCTGCAAACACAAATATATGTGATTAATTTTTTTGATGTGTAATAGCTCAAAAGTTAAGCACTTGCATTAGTTTGTAAGATCTGTAGTGTGAGTGGAGCTTAAATTGCCTCAGCTCAGTTATAATATTATAAACTGTGTATTTTTTCCAGACTCTCATAACTTTAAAATAAATAAAAATTTCCTCAGGATGTGGTGTTTAAAAAAAAAAGTCACCTTTGGGCTGACTTGCGAGTTTTAACTCCATCGGTTAATTTTTCAGAAAGGTATCTCAGTATGTAGCCGTAACTATTTTAAATGCCATAAAAGTGCAAAATTTATACATTCAAGATACCCACTCAATCCACTTTTTGCTTACCATGGATAAGATTCTGTGTGCCGTAGTGCTACTGCTGAAGTCAATATGTATTAGGATTAGGCCCTCTGTGAGACATTAGAAAGCAGCATTTATTTACATCTCATTTATGATCTCCCCATTTGGGACATGTCTCCATAAGAAACCACAGTAAGACTAAACAGAACCTATGAATGATGTGAGCACACCAGTATAACGTTTTTGTGTCTCCAAGATGCTGGGAAGGACAAGAATGTTCACCAGCACCAGTAAGCATGATCCAAAAGCCTAATGAAGTCAATGGTACTCTATTATTTGACTTTAGTGGAATATGGATCCAGTTGTTTTTGCTTATAAATTATTAATAGGGATAAGACATACTCAGTGTTGCTCAAGTACCATAGGTGTCTGCCTATACTATAATGCACACAAATACCTGCTCAGTAGGTGTGTCTGGTATTTGCTTCCTGAAAGACTCAAAACAAAACCACAAATTACTACTTCGAAGGGTGATCCAGCCCACATATATGTGGACATACATCACTGAGTATCTTATTATTAATTATTGTGCACATCCAGCCTCCAGTTTAACAAGATGCCTGTTGATGGGCACCCACATATCTAAGCAGAGGACTGAGGATCTCATCCTAGTCCCATTGATTTAAAAGATTCAAGTTCAGGTTCTGATTCAATTGATTTCAATGAGAGATAAGTGCCTAAAAACCTTTGAGGATCTGGGTCTGAGTCCTTGGGCACAATCCTACAAAGACTTAAACAGTTGAGTTATTACGATTCCAATGGGATTGCACACATACTTAGGGCTTGTCTACACTACCCGCCGGATCGGCTGGCAGCGATCGATCCAGCGGGGGTTGATTTATCCTGTCCTGTATAAATGCAATAAATCGACCACTGAGCGCTCTGCCGTCGACTCCAGTACTCCACCAGAACGAGGAGCGCAAGCAGAGTCGATGGGAGAGCGTCAGCTGTCGATTTACCGCAGTGAAGACACCGCGGTAAGTAGATCTAAGTACGTTGACTTCAGCTACGCTATTCACGCAGCTGAAGTTGCATATCTTAGATCAACCCCTCGCGGTAGTGTAGACAAGCCCTAAGAGTCTTTGGAGTTTAATTCAGGTGGCAGTTTGTGTTATTGTAGAAGATTCAGATATTAATGGAACACTCAACAACTAAGATAACTATAACAGAGAAGTTAGCAAAATCATTTTGGAAACAGATCCTCAGCAGGTGTAAATGAGTGCTGTTATTTTGACATGAACAGAGCATCACCCATGTACGCCAGTTCAAGATCTGGCCTTCTGTTTTTTTCTGTTTGCTTACTTAATGCATTTGAAAGGATTTTATATTGTATAATCAGTTTGTCTGTTTCACCTGTACTAAGAGCTTTATAAACATCTACAGATCTGGAGAAAAAAATCCCCCAACAATTATAAGTATTTTTTTTTTAACTTTCAGGACAAACTATTAAAGGATGTTGTACCAGCACTGGAAGTTTCTAAAATTAGTGGATTTTAAAAAACTTAAGTTGACAGTGCCCTTAATTCTGCCCTTAAATTACTAAAAAATGTTTGAAAGAATCTACGTACATGTCTGCAAGATTGGGACCAATGTCCCAATATCCAGCTGATTTTTTAATATTAATTAGTTACCATTTGTACACTAATTTTCAGATTGTAAGAATAGCTTGTATGATTATTCAGACCTTAAAATTAAAAATTTTGATGTCTTAAATGGCTCACATTTTGATGAGTTTTACAGTAGCTTTTCTGATTTCAGAAGAGAAGCTATTGGAGCTATAGTCCAGTTCCAAAATAGCACAGTTGGGTCCTGGATCAAAGACTGGGGCTTCTAAGCACTACTTCCATACAAATAATAAATAATAATAAAAGTTATTGTCATTGCCTTGTTTGTAAGAAGACTATACAAATGTGTCTGTTTTTCAATAAGCAGAGAAGTGGAGATGATGAAATCTCTAAGACTGAGTTTATTTTTATTTTGCTGATGAATGAATATTGGTTTTGTTGTGCTAGGGTTTACCTGCTAGATATTTTTACATTTAATTTCCCGTAAATTGGTGACGTAGTATCTTCTTAATCCATTTTCCCCAGATAAGACCATACCAACTTCCTCAAAAGTGGTCTTAACTGTCTGGATTTTTTATATATACACTTTAGAGGGCCAAAGACCAACAGTCTCTGTGAAACAGAAAATACCAAATATTTTTAAAATGTCTGGATTAAGTGGGACTTTTCCAAGTTCACACTCCCTATTGGTGACCTAAATCTAACTTGACTGCACAGAGTTGCATGACTCAAGGTATGTCTGATTTGCCAAAGATCTTGAAGGAAGATGCTGTAAAGTGGAACAGGCAGCATTTGTAAACTATAATAATCCAGGGTAAGGCTGAGAAGCCTTGTCTTTTGGGTTCACAAGCCATTTGAAGGAAAACTGATATTCCAGATTCATCAAGACTGATCATCTTGGGAAGAGGAAGTCATGATATTGTAACATTATAACATTAAAGTTTTTTTTTATTTGACTGCTACAATTGAAAAAACAAGTGGCATTTCAGTCTTTAAGTATGGGCGCAGTCATCTCCATATAAAAATGCTAAGATCAATGTAAACACTGTTCTATCAATATAACTGCACCTACATTAGGTAATTGCACCATTTAAACTAGTGGAAACTGTCTAAATAAACCCTAATTTTCCCTCTCAGAGGTCAAATTGGCGTGGAGTAAAGATGGGGGTGGTGCTGGAAGGGCAGGGTCCTAGTCCTGGGGGTTGGGGAGGGAGGCTCTGACCCTTCCTTGGGGCAGGTGGGATAAGCTCCTGATGCTCTACTCAAACTCCTCCCACAATCCAACAGTTGAACAGCAAGCAGAAAATCAACCGTTTTGATATTTAAATTGTTATTTAGTTTCTGAGTTTACACCCTATTGAAATGAAAGGGCAGTTGGAATTGTATTACTCAAAACTATTTATGACTCAAACTGTCATTTGCAATGCATTCTTTGCAACCATGAATCTCAGGACTTTTTTTTTTTTAAGGAAATTCTAAAGGAACTGATGGAGCCAACCCAGAAGCACTGGTATGGTGGATGTGTAATGGCTCAGTTGAACACTGTACTAATTGCTCCTTTCCTGCAGTGCAGGAATATCCTCCCTCTTCTTGTCCACTACTAATACAGCATTAAAACATGTGTTTCCCATGAATCTTTCTGGGGCTGATCTCTCCAGTACCATCCTGACCTTCCAGTCCCTGTGTTTTATTTCTATATCTGAGGCCTTTTCTACATCAGTATAGCTACACCAATTGTTGGCAACCAACAGCTGAATGAAGGCTACTCCCGTCCCTAGCGTAGACAAGACCCTAGTTCCATTGTAACTGCCCCAAGGCAGGGACTACTGCGGTGTAGCCTGTGTCTTGTAAAATGCCACGCACCTTTACCGCTCCCTAATTACAATTCTTTTCTGGTGTCCTTTCCTTTACTACGGGATCATGAAAACTACAATAGGAATGTGAATGTACTGGAGCTGCATCCTGGCTTGACTGACACCAGGTGCCTCCTGATCACTTCCTGCCCTGGGGGAGGGGACGGGGTAGAGTAGCAGAGGGTGTAAGGGTGCAGAACTACCAAGTACCCCTGTTTCGAGGCCTGTGCCAGGTACTCCCCCATAAGCCAACCCCCAGTGTAGGGACTAAGGTGACTAGATAGCAAACGTAAAAAATCGGGACGGGTGTGGGGGTAAAACAGCAGGACTGTCCCTATACAAATCGGGACATCTGTTCACCCTAGTAGGGCCCCTATTAGTCTCTAGTAGGATTGCTATAGACTAGAGGGCTCTGCCTCCCCCTTTTTGCCGTGACGCAGTTGTGAGGCAGATGAGGGACGCAAACGCTGTTCCTGAGAGGGATTAAATGTCTGCCCCCTTCAGGCTCCCCCAGCTATAGCCTGGGAGGGGAGGAGGAGTGTTACGGCAGTAGCAGTTAGTTTACGACAGTGAGTTCATTTTCGGCATTGGGTGTTGCGCTTGGGGGCGGAAGCTGCGGAGAGGAGGGGGAGGAAAACAAAGGGGGTGTGAGGGGCAGGGGGAGCCGGGATGTGAAGAGAGAGAGGCGGCGGAGGTGGCGAGAGCGGCCCAGGTGACGGAGGGGGGCGGGGGTCTAGCAGCGGCATCAGGCGGGCCGGGACGCAGGGCCCGCTCCGGGTGGTGGGAGAGACCCTGGGTGCGGACCTAGGCCTCAAAGGGATCGGGCGTCGGGCCTGGGGAAAGCCCAGCGGGAGCGTAGTGCACAGTCCGGGGCTAGGAGAGGGCTGAGCACGGGCGGCTTCCCGTGTCTCCGGTTGCGGCCCCCTGCTAACCAAGCCCGGCCCTGCTTGGCATCGTTGGGGGAGCCTGCCTGCGTGGGGGCGCGGGGTCCTGGTCCTAGGGGCGGGGGAGGGAGGCTCTGACCCTTTCTCGGGCGGGATAAGGTCCTGGTGCTGCCCTGGGCGGGGAGCAGGTCCCCGGAGAGCCCGGGGGGGTGTGTCTCTCTCGGTGGGGTTGCTCCCTGCGCTCGCTTCCTGAGCCTCCAACGTCCTGCTGCCCTGTGTGCGCCCCGAGCTGCGACCCCTTTCCCTTGGCGAGCCCCACGCGGGTTTTCATCCCTTGTCGCCTGGCCATGTGCCCGTGCGGGGCTCAGTGGGAGCCCATTTCCCAGACAAACCCTCGGCAGTTTTTCTGGGTTGCGCTTCAAGACGCGCTCAAGTTAAACCAGGCTTTCGTTTGGATGTAAGCATTCCCCTGTAGCGTGTGAACTAAGTGCGTGAGCCCGGAAGAGAAACTGCCTCGTGAATCGCTACTAAATGAAGCGAAACAGAGGGGAAAGGAAAAGTAAACACTAAAACACTAAAAATCAGGCTTTTAAAATCCTTATATTTTAATAATTTTGAATGTTATAATAAGGGATCGAGACGTTTATTTTAAAAATTGTTTATAAATCGAATGTCCTCTTAAAAGTAACTGGCCAAGTTTCAAGATTTAATAAACTTGATCTAATTTTGAACAGGACCGATATCAGACTACAGTTCGTAGTAGAGTTCATATAGTTTTATTGTCAAATCTTGGTAGCTTTAACATGGAGTAAATGCCAGTTCTCCCATTGAAGGCTAAACTTTCATAAATGTAACTAAAGAGCAGAGGCAGCATGGCCTCTGTTGAATAGACTATATGGGTGGGAAGTCAGGAAGTCTGCATTTCTAATCATTAGCTCGTCTAGTAATTTGCTGTGGGGTCTTGGACAAGTTGTTTAGCTTCTTTGTGACTCTGTGAAGTCTTGGCTCTATGAGCTAAGATCAAGTGTAGGCTTACATACCTCTGTGTGTGTGTTGAGGATTAGTAAAAGAGCTTTCATTAGGTAAAGGTCTGTATAAATCCTGAGTACTTAGAGTGCATGGTTTGTATTCCTTCATTTTTTTCATTACATTGCACTCACTCTTTGTGCTCTCCTGTTGGACTTTCTGTCATGAAACTCTAGCTCCTGGATTGTGGTTTAGGATGACATAACAGTTAGAGCCCTGCAGCAGGACTTGGATGCCATAATAGTGGCAGCGGGTAAAATCTACTTTGTTGTGGGCAGAATTGGGTAGGCATAAAAACCCAGACTGCATTAATTTGCAGGAAAACACTAAATCTCTCATCAGTTTGTCATAAATAGAATTTCAGCAGTGTAAAGCCCCCCCCCCCTTTTTTTTTTAAATAAAGCTTTTCATACTTAAATTTAAGTGAGGGATCAAAAGAGATTTGATGTCTGTTATAACAGGAGTTAAAGTATATTTGTACGTGGTTTAAGCAAGATTTGTTTTATTCTTTTAGTAGTAAAAATTGTTTCTGAATTCCATGTATATATAATTCTGTGTATATATAATGTGTACGTGTATATGTATGTGTGTATATGTACATGGAATTTAGAAACAATTTTTACCACAATGTATTATAACCAACCCTTTTTTCTTTTTGTTAAATAGCATGGGGAAATCTGTCTCTCTTGTAGGATTTGGGGGATCTAAGATTTTTTGCGGGTGGGAGCCAGATAAAAATGCCAGAAACAATGCGGGAGTGGGTATTGTAGGACGGGAGTGGGATTAAAAAAATAGTCCTGCGCAGGGTTGTAGTAGCAGTATCTGTTGCTCACAGAGTGTTGCTAGATATCCGTTGCTGAAGTGGTTTTGTGTATTTACAGAAGCCACCATGAACTTAAGTAACATTTCCATTCACTTACCAGTGCTTTGGGTTCCGATTTTAAAATACAGGCGTAAGCTACAATAATAATTCATATTGTAGAAATAAATCTAATCTGTGTCCAACCAGTTTATTAAGTTGAATGCAAACAGTGCAGATCTACTGACTTTTCAACTTTGCAGTTCATAATCAAGACAAAAGTGTGGTTTTATTATGTTTTAAAGTATTAATATTTAAAATATGCACAACTTTAACAGGTGGGAAGAATGAAAGAAAGGAGGGATGAAAGAATGTTGAACTATTCTGTATGGCTGTATGATGGAAGGAAACAGAACGGAGAATCTCTGCAGTAGATCATTTGGATGGGTTCAACGACAAGATAACGATGCTAAACCATGGCTCTGGAAATTCTCTAATTGCTTTTCTACCACTGAACAGACTTCGCCTTTCAGTGCAAAACCGGTAATTCTTTGCTATACTAAGAACATAACTGATACACAGGAACTGATGAGTACACCAAATTGTGCATATTATACAGTGGGGGGAGGGAGCGGGGGTTTCTTCCTGACTTCCACAGGTTATCGATTTATGCCCTGAATCATAAAGATGGTCTTAAGTTTTTATATGTTAATTACTGTAACTGCAAGATGTTGTTCTTATAAATGTCTAACCCCCTAAAATAACATGAATTATCCAGCCACCACATAGATCTCCAATCTACCTGTCAGTAAAACACTGGGGCAATAGATGAGCCTGGTCCTGAACTTCCAACAAATTTGGTCTTTGTCAGCCCAAGATGGGAGAGTAAGTTGGAGTTTGATGACACTTTATGGAAATGGCTGGGGTTTTTTTAATGCTTTCATTTGCAACAGAGGTGGCATCACATGAAGGGGGGCAGACTTGAGTATCCAGGTTACAAATCATCTAGGGCTCTTGAGGGGGGGAGAAATGCCTCAAACTCCATTTAGATTTTAGAAACATCCTTTAAAAATATTACCAAGATATTTGCCTGAACAGTTGTTGTAGTGAATTCCACAATATATGTTGCATGCAAGTGTATTCCCTTTTATCTATATTACATTGTTTGTCTTTTTTAATCTTGCTCTTGTATTATGGGAAACAGTAAATAGGAATACCCAACTGATCTTCTCGGAATCGATGGCTACTAATTTTGATAATCTCCTGTAGCTCTCCTCACATTATCCAGTCTTGGCTAACCTAAACATGTGATGTCAGCAGTTCTTACACCATGTGTTTCTGTTCTTTATAATGCATCTTGTTATAGTGGCTTGGGGTGCAGAACTACTGTTTATCCCCCAGCCTCCATAATGTTAAGTGTATCAAACATCAGTCTTATTAATACCAGGGGCATTCAACATCTGTGTGTTGAAAATTGCTTTGTCTTCTATCTGTATGTTTGCGTTCATACTTTGTCTTCTATCTGTTTTTTGTTCTTTTTAAGGTATTCATCTTTCACCTCATGGCTACCAGTCTTCTTTAATAGCCTTTTCAGAGGGACTTGATCCAAAGCCTAAGTAAATTCTATATGTTCCTGTTATATTTATCCATTTTTTTTTTTTGTTACCTCTCCCGTCCAGTCAGCTAGAATTTACTGTTATAGAAGTGGTTGTATATCACTGTAACATTGCTTGCTTTGCAATTTCAGAATATCTGTAATAATTGTCTTAACTTCCTTCTCCACCTCCAACATAGTAGCTGACCTCAGCCACTGTTTTTTTTTAATCTCCCAAGATTTTGGGGAAATATCAAAACTATAAAACATTCATCCCATTGGTTTTGTGCATACAATTTATATATGAGTTTATGGATTTCAACACGTGCAGCTGGTGGAATGATGGTTCTCTTGATCGTTATAAGTTCCTGGCTTCTGTCACTGTCAGAAGTGTAACTGGTGTGTGTGTGTGTGTGTGTGTGTGTGTGTTTTTTTTTACTATAAACGACTAGCTCATACATGAGATATGCCCCTGAATGTAACTATGTGGCTTATTTTTTCCAGAAAGATTACATGGAGAACAAGAAAGCTGTTGTGGAATTGAAGGATGCTTCATCTCCTCTTCATGCTGGCTCTAAACTCTTTCCAGCAGTACCACTTCCTGATGTTCATTCTCTTCAGCAACAGCAAATACAGCTTTCACCTAGCCCCAAAGTAAGCTGCTGTGCTCATGGATCTGACTCCTCTTGTACTCATAAGATGCATTTTGGTGGTGGTGCTGGTGGTGGTAGCTTGATTCATCCTGGCACAATATTAGACTCTCAAAGCACTGGGACAATTACTTGTCAAGTAGGGTCGGGGTTTGCTTATCAGTCTGCATCTTCACTCAAGAATGCTCCAGCTAGAAGCAATTTGGCAGGCATTGCAAGTGACTTCCCCAGCATGTGCATAGAAAATAACGTATCTTCCTGTCAACATCTGCCATGTTGTGGAAAACTCCATTTCCAGTCCTGTCATGGTAATGTGCACAAACTGCATCAATTTCCAGCCCTTCAGAGCTGCACATCTTCTGGCTATTTTCCCTGTTCCGAATTTACAAGTGGGGCTACAGGGCACTTGGAGGAGCATATTACACAGTCGGAGCTAACATCACGTGTATGCACCAACTCTTTGCACCTAAATGTGGCACCTTCGGTCTGTTTAAAGGGCTCTCACTACTGTAATGAATGTTTAAGCAAGGTTTGTACATTTCACATTTCTTCTTGAAGTGCTATATGTTGTAAGTGCTTAAATAATGAATGTTAACTGGGAGACAAAATAGGTCTGGTGGCCTACAGCTTGAAGTATCTAGTTGATGTTAATACGTAGTTTAAGGGCCATGGTATCAGAAGCCTGCTCTTAATCTGAAGGTGGGAGATTCATGGCGATAGCATTCAATTTCATGGGAAGATAAAGCAGGTTATCACACTATTTGAGTGTATCCCAGATTCTTTATTAATTGAACAGAATCTTTTCTAGTTTTAAAAGGAGCTGCTCACCTGTTCTGATAGCTCCATAAAACACTCCATTAGTGGTGATTCTGTGAAGGATTACATGGCAGATAATCTGTATCCAGCATGGGCAACTGATCAAGATGGATCCATCTCATGAGTTGGGAAAGCTTTTTTTTTTTTTTTTGTAGTATTAAGATCAGCCTTTCTAAACTATAATTTATTTTTATGCTTCTGTACCAATTTAGTACACTTAATTTAACTAAATTCAAATTTAAAATCAGTTTGAATTTCAACAAAAGATCAGAAGTGAAGTATAGTTAAGTTTATTCCACATCTTGTAATACCAGGCATCATTTAAAATGTAAATTGGGGTATTCAGGTTTGGTCTGTTTTTAATATAAAACTGTACATAGAAAATCACTTCACAGAACTAAACAATGAGGCCAAGATTTTAAAAAGTGAGTGATTTTTGGGTGCCTCCATGTTTGTATGCTCAATTTGAGATTTTTTTTTAAGGGGCCTGGGCATTTTGTTTTTTGGTGGTGTTTTTTTTTTTTGCCAGAGGGTAGGTGGTTAGCACTTTCTGAAAAGGGTGCTTCTTTAATATGTTGAGAAGGGCACTCAAAATCAGATCTAACTTTCAAAAAGTGACTAGTGAATACATAAGGGAAGAAAAGTCTGTGAGATGAGCACACTTCATTCAATGGGTTAATATTACTGTGGATTAGTTTCCAGATTAACATCTATGCTCCTAGTCCATTGGAAGGTTGTTTTGTCATTGACATGAAGAGTAAAAATTAATATAAAATGTTCTAGGTTAAATTAATGCATAATATTATACATTAAACTAATTGGTGTTTTGAAAAAAATTGCTCCAACAGCCAACCAGAAATAGCTTAATTGATGCTGCTAAAATCTGGCCAAATATTCCCCCTCCCAGTACGCAGACTGCACCCATATCTATCCCAATGTGTAATGGCTGCGGAACCAAAGGAACAGGAAAAGAGACAAGTTTATTACTGGCAAGTAGCCTGGGCAAATCACCACAAAAATATGGTAAGCCACATTTGTTTGATTTAATAGATGCACTCCTTAAAATACCGTTGAAATTCAAAAGGTTATCTTAAAAACTGCATGTCTTTCTGAAGATATTTCTTATGAGAGAGACTAAATGGAAAAAATACATTTTTTTGTTCATTGGATCCTTCTGTGTATATACTGTTTGTACTGTATAGTTAGTTTTCCATATTGTTTGTGTGGGTCTTTTGCATAGCAGTATGAGGAAAGAAAACATTGTGGTGGTGCTTTTGTTGTTGTTTTGTTTAAAGGAAAGTTAATTGTGAAACATTGGAGCGTATTTAGATTAGGTGTAATACCAGAAACCTACCTTAACCTACTTTTCCAAAATGGACTATGTACCAGGTTGATGATATCGCTTTAATACTTGAAATATTCATATATTTTTGTAAACTTTTAATATTTGTGCTTCTGGTATAGTTACTATATGTTATAATGCAAATTTTAAAAAGACTATTGACAATTGTATAAAATGATATATGTACAGTGGTATGCCAAATATGTTCTCCAGCTCAATTTGACAGTTTGCAATTTAGGTGATATGACAAGTCTTATTCTGGTAATACTGTTGTCTTCCCTTATGGACTTGAGAGACTTAGGCTTGGCCTACACTGAAAATTAATGTCAACGTAGCTTCATTGTTCAGGGGTATGAAGGAGCAAAAAAAAAGTCCCTGACTGATGTGGCTAAACGGGCCAAACCACCAGTATAAATGCTATTATGTCAACAGAAGAGTGCTTCCGTCAACATAGTTTTTTTTTGTCATTCAGGGAAGTGGTGTTCCTACGCCGACAGAAAACCCCCTTCCATCGGTGTAGGCTGGGTCTCTGCTACAGGGTTATGCCAGCATAGCTACAGCAACATAGTTATGCCAGTATAGTCTCTGTAGCTTGGATTTTCCCCCAGTCTTTTGGTTAATAGGAGTGCTGAGTGGCAAGCTGACAGTCCAGCTCTCAGTTCTTGTCTATTTCTGCTCAGCTTGTGAGAAGCTGTGTCATTTCAGCTTGGGAAGCAAACACCTGTAGCCATTTTAGGCTTTTTATTCAGTTTTATGTTTTTTCCAAGGTATGATTTCTGACAAATCAATGGAAGAATAACTCATCAGACATCATAACCAAAAGTCCACCGGAAAAGATGACGTTTGCATGTTATCTGGCACTTACTCTTTTTTGTCAGTTCTGTGTTCGCTTCTTTGGACATTGTAATCGCTGACCATCTGTACGGAGTCCCTTTAATTCATCATCCATTGTCTTTGGTTTCTGCTTATTGTAGGTTAGGGAGTGTATGTAAACATGATGAAGCTTTTCCTGTGGCCATTCTGTAAGAGCAGAAACTTATCTTTGTCCCTCCTACTCCATAATAGCAAATTCCAGGCCTCACATCTGTTCTTCAATTTAGTTTGTTTGCCTGTAGAAGAACCTTGCGTCTACTGTGTAGTTCCTTGGTTCTTGATAACCACTTATCCCAGAGTTAGCATTCCAATCCAGTTTTCTTTGTTTTGGATGCTTTCTCTGATACAGCATTTTAAATCCTACAGTTTAAATATTTATTTTCCAGTACTAATTCAGTATTCATTATGAATTTTTAGCTGCGAAATGTTACTTCAGATACAATTAAACAATTTAGATGGTCTACGTGGCTATTTTTAGCGTGTAGCAGGAGCCCAAGTTGTAGACCTGGGCTGAGACTTACTGCCATGGGTTTTTTGCTATGTAGACATACCCCAAACGTCTTTTTTTTTTTTTTTTTTTTTTTTTAATTGAAGAAGAATCCTTACACATCAGAGCACTACAACCTTGGAGGTGCTCAGATGTGATCAATTTCCTAGCTATCAGAGTGGTAGCCATGTTAGTCTGTATCAGCAGAAAGAACGAGGAGTATTTATGGCACCTTAGAGACTAACATTTATTTGGGCATAAGCTTTCGTGGGCTAAAACCTCCCTGGTCACTCAATTACAGACCTAAAAGTCGCCATTCTCCAACAAAAAAACTTCAAAAACAGACTCCAACGAGAAACTGCTGAATTGGAATTAATTTGCAAACTGGACACCATTAAATTAGGCTTGAATAAAGACTGGGAGTGGATGGATCATTACATAAAGTAAACTATTTCTCCATTCTAATTTTTCCCCTACTGTTGCACCTTCATGTCAACTGTTGGAAATGGGTCATCCTGATTATCACTACAAAAGTTTTTTTTTTCTCCTGCTAATAATATCCCACCTTAATTGATTGGTCTAGTTATAGTTGGTATGGCAACACCCATTTTTTCATGTTCTCTGTCTATATATATCTTCCTACTGTATTTTCCACTGCATGCATCCGATGAAGTGGGTTTTAGCCCACGAAAGCTTATGCCCAAATAAATTTGTTAGTCTCTAAGGTGCCACAAGTACTCCTCGTTCTTTTTCCTGCCTATATTTCTTCATGATTGTCTTCCCAGGCCCGTCATTCTTTAACATCTGAAACTTCCCATCTTTTATATCGTTGTCCTTTTATGCTTATAACTAGCAAAGTATCATAGTCTCAGCATTTCCCAGTTTAACGTAAAGGCTGTTTTTGTTAAATTTCTACAGGGTCTCCAGAAGTTGCAATAACAGGCCAGGTGCTGGAGAACTTGCCCCCCATTGGAGTCTTTTGGGATATTGAAAACTGTTCTGTTCCGACTGGCCGTTCAGCTATCGCAGTTGTACAACGAATTCGTGAAAAGTTTTTTAAAGGTCACAGGGAGGCAGAATTCATCTGTGTATGTGACATTAGTAAAGAAAATAAAGAAGTTATTCAGGAGCTGAACAACTGCCAGGTATGGAAATGTAATCTATTCGCTCAGTGTTCCATATAAAAAAATAATGTAGATAATCTTTAATGAACAGAAGCAAGTCTTTTTTTTAATTAAAACAGTTTCACTGAAGAAGATAGAAGTTATGATTCTAGCTGAATTTATACATGCATTAATTTTATTAAGAAAAATAGACATGACAGCTACCTCCCCAAAAATTTTTGTTTTGTTTTTTTTTAAGATCCATTTCATTACCTGTGGAACTGTCTTCTCTAACTTTGTTTTTGGGAGAATCTTTGTTTCATTTGGTAATTTAAGAAACATCTCTAGCACAGTTCACAGAATTTGCAGCTAGATCACCAACTGAGATGACAGGTCAATTGATACTTGTCGCTGATGGAACCTTTCCTAAATGGAGGGTGCACTGGGTGGAAGGGACATTGGAGCACAGTTAGTGTTGTTTGGGACTCCTTTACTCCACATTTCTACACTTTCAAACACGTTTTAAGAAGCTTTACCTTAAAATTACCTTGCATTCTAATCTCCTTGGTTTAGTTTTTTAAACATTAATACTTTTGTAAGTTTTTCTCTGAATTAATGATATACCATCACCACCTTTACTACTTTGTAATGTTTGGGCATTCAAAAATTATCTGTGTTTTGGCTGGCAACTAGCCTGCTTAGATTGGGTTAGATGATGTGATAGGGAGTACCAGACTTCTGTCATTGGGTTTTTAAAGTGGAGGGGATGAGTTATAATTAAGACCCTGCCAAATTCATGGCTGTGAAAAATGCATCATGGACCTTGAAATCTGGCTATAATGTTGAGGGGGGAAGGGTCATGGCATTGCCACCCTTACTTCTGTGCTGCCTTCAGAGCTGGGCAGCTGGAGAGTGGCAGCTGCTGGCTGGGGACCCAGCTCTGAAGGTGGCAGCACTACCAGCAGAAGTGAGGTTGGCATGGTATGGGGGTGGGGGGTTGTCGCTTTTACAGGGGTAAGGCTGGCCTTACAGGTGGGCAACCACCCAGGGTGACGTGATTGGGGCACACCATGGACACTCCAGTGTCCGCACACAGAGCCAGCCCAAGGCCCCTTTAGCCCTCAAGTGCTGGGCCCGGAGTGAGGGAAAGGCAGGGCTGGGGGCACCCCGGCCAGGGGCTCCTACCATGCCTTTCAACCTTCCCCACAACCTCCTTTTGGGTCGAGACTCCCACGGTTATAATATTGTGAAATTTCAGATTTAAATATCTGAAACTGAATTTAAGGTTTTGTTTTTTTTTTAAATCCTATAACCATGAAATTTACCAAAATGGACTGTGAATTTGATAGGGCCCTAATTATAATGAAACTACTCCTATATCTTTATTTATGATGGTACTGCGGGGCTCTGTTGTTTTTGTTGGTATAGTAATGGCTAGAAAAAAAAGAAAACTAGGCATATAAATCATGTCAGTTGTCATGTATGTCTTAAATCCATTTAATCTAATCTCTGGGGGATTGACTACATTTTGTTTTGAAATTTGTATTTTGAGTGCAGTGTTTGGGCATATTCAAGTCCAAACTAGTACATGGCTGAATTGTTTCTTGATTTTAATTTATTAGTGTGTACTGAAATTCTGAAAATGACAAAGTAAGATTATACATGACAATTCTTTCAGAAAATTTACCTTTTTTGAAAGACTGATGCAATGTTTAGAGAACAGTGTCTGAAGTACCACTGTTTCAAAATGGAAAAAAAATGAAGTGTGTCTTTAAATAACAAAGATACAAAGAAAATAGAAGTGTTTCACTTTGAAGACCAGTGGTGTAAAAACTGTTGCTGAAGTCCAATTCAGCGATGTAATTCAAAAGGTACCTTTATAGGTAAATTATCAAACATGGCAAACTTGCTTGGTTACCTTTTTTGAGAGATTTTAATACCCAGATTAATCTAATTGATTTGTTCTTCTTGTTAATCAGTGATTTGACTTATTTCCAAGGGTCAGTTCCCTTTATCAGTTACCAGTTTGTGTGAAATGTTAACCCTTCAAGGCTTACCCTATGAATACTAAACAATCTTCACTAGTGACTTCATTTACCTAACAAAAGTTTTGATCACTAATACAATATGCTGAAGTTTAAATATTTCACATTTCAGTTGCATTGTAGCATTCAGTTTCAGTAAATCTTATCCACTCATCTTGGAACATATTGAGCAGACCTTAAACAGACTAAATGTCTGTTTTCTTCTAATGCAAGTCCCTTATATATGTTGTGTCGGGCTTCCCCTTTCTTTTTCCCCATTTCACAGGTAGACTTATGCTTTGTTAAAATGGTCAAAAATATGTAAGTGATTTTTTTTGTTTGTTTTTTGTTTTTTATTGTATCTGTCTTTTGGTTTCTATGAGAACAGTAGTTCAGTTCTCTTTTTTTGGATTATTGGCTCTATATATTCAGGAAGTCTGACACTTATCAATTGCTTTTGTGTTTACAAAAATGTGTATCCATCAACCGTTGTGACAAGTTGTTTTTGTTCACTGCAATGCTAATAGTTTAGCAATTGGTGTATGTTTTCTCTTCAGATAAATAAGCTGAAAATCACAAAGCTGCATACAATTGTTTATCAGTAATTCCTGTGCATAATTATTTTACAGTTTTTAACTTCAGGTATTCCATGCAAGGTATAAAGTGTTTCCCTCTTCATACACACCCCTCTTACTGAATCTCAATAAAAATATAGGTGCAATACTGAACTGGGGTTTGTTCTGAATAAGCTAATTTTTATATCAGTAGTAAAACAGTCTTGTTTGCTGTATTATAATTTCTTCAGTTATACATTTAAGTGTATGTACCTTCTTTCTTCTCTTTTAAGGTCAAAGTTAGGTGCAGAATTAGATGCTCTAAGGTGAATTAGTTAGGTCTGCTTATTTCAACAGGAATCTGTCCTTAAAGGGAAAAAAGAGGCATTTCTTAACCACTCTGAAGTTCTTACAACTTCTCTAACTCTCCTCTCCTCCCCCCCCCCCCCCCCCCCCCCCCCCCCCC